ATACGCGGCTGGGCCTATTAACCGTGGGCTTAATAACCGGCGACTACTGTACGTAAGTCTTTTATTATTGGATATATTCGGCGCTCTCAGTCTGATTTAAATAGAATTAAACGAGCAAAATAAAGGAAAGAAAAGAATACAAAATTTTATCAATTATGCTGTTTTCTGGCAGTTAGTAAGATCATCAGGGATTAAAATTAACTTATTGCACAAGCGCGAATAATGTTCACTTTGTTTTTGCTTATGTCGGAATTAAGGCTACATCCCTAAGTTATGCGCGCCATTTTTAAGTTGTCCAATTAGCATTCGGCCGAAGTTGACGTGCATGAGTTTTCCTTCAAAATTTTCACGAACTATGTAAGTCATAGCATAAAATAATTAAAAATAAAGATGAAATTCGGTCAAAAATTAATTTTGGAAGTCATTTTACCTTTAACGCAGAGGTTTAAGCTTGTTTCACGCCGCAGTTTTGGACCGCCATTAGTCCACGTGCCACCCAGCCAATGATTGACTGAGAAAAGTGTTTCGGCCATAGCGTTTTTTGGCCATAGCGAAGCTGGCCTGGAGTCTCGTGAACCTATCTATATGTAAGCTGCAAGTTAACTACTGGGTTATTTAGGCAGATAGACGTTTTATTATCTGCACTGACACAATCTAGTGATGATAGCTTGTTCTTTTTCTGACGCTCGCGCAATTTCGGCACCGAAGTAGCGTTAGTCATCATTAACGTTGGGAACGTTTGGTACATTTTATTTAAAAAAAAACACAACTTACAAACGACCTTAGGCGATTCGCCTGCTGCTTTGGATAAGTTTCCCATGCAATTGGAGAATCGCACTAGCGATGATGTCGGAACTACAAACGTCTAGTAATTTTTGTCCAATTGAGAGCTTTATGTTGCTAGGTCTCCAGTCATTTGCAGCCATTTACTTACATCGAAAGTCAAACCAAATGCTTTAACGAACAAGGTGTTGCATTTTTTCCATCGTATTCGGCCTTTATTGTTGCAACTCGGGCTAAAAAATCCGAAAAGGGTAAGGTTTAGAGACCTGTCTACACTTATTTATACAGCCAACTTTCCAAATTAAAGAACTGGAAACCACTTTTGCTCGGTGA